CTTTTCTTTTCAATCTACACACCTATTCATTTCAAATGTCAATTTAATTAATAATAATAACCTCCGATAGACATAATATTTCAGTGTTGTTCTTCTTGAAAAGTGATGTCACTTAGACAATCACTGGAAAACATAAAATCCTAGAATAATTGTTTCGTCCCCCCTCTTGGGACTCTTCATCCGATAAGAATCATACTGAAATTCAATAGATACCTACGAGTCCAACATTTAAAGTGTATTCAATATATTGATCATAAGTTTAATATTTTACGTGTTCAGATAAATGACAGTATCCATATTACCAATTGAATATACTGACTTAAATCTACACAATCAATAAAAATGTGTTGGAAATTTCTGTTTTCAATCAAATTATCACTAAATGGGTTGCTATAGTGACGCCAGTATTTAAACAAATTGTTCACTATATACGCGCATGATACAATCACTCTAAATTTAGTATTTATTTTTATGCCAATGATAATGATACATTAAAGCGCTTGTAGAGGGGAGGAGAGCGAGAAACACTGAGAGTAGTAGAAGTCATAAATTATTGCCTTTCGATTTTATAAAACCAATTAAAAATAATTTTACAATGAATCATAAAATCTTGATCAGAAAAGAAATCACTGCTTATTTATTCATAAATTGAAATATTTTTATATGCTTCTTATTCAAGTGGCTTTAAATCTTAGCACCCAAAGAACTGTGTAAAGTTCAAATTTCACTGACGCACAAGTGAAATAATCTTGGAACTGGTTTCTTCTGTAAAGGCAATAAACAGTTGATTAATTGTAATTAGAAGTTAATTAGTAGATGGTGACTAGCAGTTGGAATCCAGGATAACGCGCATCTCGTCCTATTTGGGACTCATCATCTGGATGCACCTGCATTCCGTAGTGAGTGATGATTAATTGTATGGTGAATTATTAAAACAAAACCATAGATAAATTAAGTTTCAGGTTAGACCATGGATTGATATCAGTTAGAGAACTATTGAAAACCAGCACTGGAGGAGTGGACAGCTGTTTCGTCCCACTAGTTTGGAATTCATCGGTAGTACGCACTAACCGGGTTTCGAACCCAGGCCTTTGGCAAATGCCAAACTAGCCTTCTGCGTCAGTGCTGAGATTTTCTTGGCGATCAACCGCTGGCATTGGCTGGTGCAACTTCCTCAATAAGTGAAGTAGTCAACACGCTCCACCAACCACTTTACTCCCTATTTCTAAGCTAGGAGTCAATGTAGTCCAGTCCTGTAGCATCATCTTACAGTTGGCGGGAGCGAATCGCATGTCAAACATTCACAGATTGCAACTCAAGGTGTTCAGAAGACTCTGCATTTTGTCAGCTTCTTCACCTACAAGGACTATATCATCTGCATAGTCTAAATCAACGAGATTATTCCCTGGGAACAAGTCAATCCCTGAGTCGCTTAATTCACTTAGGGTTGAGTACATTAGTACATCTATGATGAAATTGAATAGAAATGGGGATAGTGAGCATCCCTGACGGACACCACTAGTTGTCACCATTTCAAATGACAACTCACCGCAAGCTCCCACCTGGCTGCATGAGTTCGAGTGAAGTGCCTTGATCAGTGCAATGTATTTTCGTTGCATTCTTTTTACATCCGAACATCGCCAGAGTACCTCTCGGTCGACAAAATTGAATGCCGCCTTTGGGTCAAGAAATATAACGATTGTTGGACGCCACCGGTAAATATGCCTATGTTCCAGAATCTGTCAAAGGGTGAAGATATGATCAATACACTCTCTTCCTGGTCTAAAGCCTGCCTGGTTCTCTCGTGTATGTGCCTCCTGAGCACCACTTAGTCTGCGCATTATTACTGAGCCTAGAACTTTAGATACCATATTAGTCAAGCTAATCCCCCTGTGATTATCACAAGAAGACTTTAGGACTCAAACTACTACTTATTATAACAGTCATCAATTCCCATGATTTTTTACGTTGTCATAGCCACGTTGTGCTAAATATTTGTATATCTTGCTCTAGTCTTAAACTATTAATTCTGTTTGACATCTTCTATGATTTTGATCTTTTTCACTGCCTAAGATTTTATAGTTTGAGTTAACCGGATTAGATTATTTGAGGACTGACGTGAGTGCCTTCTGCAGTTAGGCAATAACTCGATTCAGTAAATACGAAATTTTCATTAAATAATGATAATAATAATATCTGATGTTATTTGGTTAATGGTGTCTAGTAGTGGAATTCAGGATGCGTGTTTCGTCCTATTTGAGACTTGTCAGCTGAATTAGCCTGCAACCCCTGGTCAGTGATGGTGCACCTACACTTTGATTCCAACTGACCACCGGTAGTTTCAAATGCCTAATCATCATTCTTTGAAGAGGAAAATACATCCAGCTGACCAGGACGAAAAGTACTTCTGTCTTGCATTCTACTATTTGCTAGCCACCATCAACCAAAACAACATCATATTAATCCACAGACAGAGTCAAACTATGCTTACTAGGTAAGAAATGATACGTCAGCAGAAACAAAGAGTTTGGGTTAATTGAAAGCTGATGAAATCATTGACTTTGAAAAGGCCTTCACCAGATGGCGTTGACCGAGAAGTAATTTAGAAACTACTTTACCACTATGCAGTATACTGCCCAAAAGTTTTATCAACCTCAATCTACAGTTATATGACAGTGCCATGAGTCAAATAGTCACGAAGGGAAACTCAATGAGGTGTTTGAAGTGAATACATGAGTAAGACAAGGCTAGTTGGCTGTCTATTATCACCCACGACGATATTATCTATTGTGCTGGACTGGACTATGCGTCAGACTGTGCATATGGAGCGAGGAGACAGTAATACGCTGGACCACTGATAAGAAGACTCTAGAAGATCTGGATATCGTGAGTGGATGATTTATGTTTAATGTCACACAAACTCGAAGACTTGCAGGGGAAAACCAACAAACTGGCTGAAGAAGCAACTACCGAAGACAGGACTGCAGGTGAACATGGAGAAGGCGGAGAGATGAAGATAACCAACGAACAGCAACAACAACCAGCATCAACGGGAGAGATCTGAATGAGGTTACTTCCTTCACATATCTAGAGAGTCAACATTGTTTCATGCACAGGTGGAAGGGATGAAGATGTCAACACCAGCTAGAATCGGGAAGGCGAGATCCACCTTCATCAGTCTGAAAATCTTCGGCACTCACACAGCCAGCATAAAGAACAAGATTCGGATTTTCAACACAAATGTGAAGTCACTCAGTCATTTCTTCTATATGGGTCAGAAACTTGGCCAGCGTGCGTGCCACGAAAAGGATTTCCGACAGCTTGTTACAGACTTTTGTCAACAGCTGCCTTCGCTGGCTCCATATTGAAGATCAGATAGCCGACCGGCCAGAAAGAATTAACAACAAGAAACGCTGGGAACAAAGAAATAGGCGAGAACCGATTGCTCAACAAATACTCCAAGGAAAATGGAGATGGATGGGATACGCATTGAGGAGACTGTCGAATGGCAGTCAACTTGAGTACCCAAATGGGAAACAAAGAGTTGAACATGGCTCTGAGAATGACATCGGGGAGATCGTGTGAGAAAGAGATAAAATGTTTCTGGAAATCATCGGAGCCACCTAAAGAGGCCTTCAGAGAACATAACAAAGTGAAAGATGTACTACTGACACCCTATTTTCCACTCGAAACCCAAGGGATTAACAATAAGAAAGGTTCTACTGAACAACGAGATGGTTCCTATGGCTTGATAGTCTAGTGAATATCCCTTTGATGTGTAGACTACTACCACATTGTTGGATGCAGGCTATCCAGCTGATGAGTTTTAGATTGAATCAGTTGTGTGTCGTAGATTGCAATATTCTTTATCTCCTGTAGAATTCTCTAAAAGTCCAAACTTGTTTTTTTGGCTCAAATTCTCTTGTTTTAACTTATGAACCCGAAAAAAAAATTAAGCCTTTCTTAACGCGCATTCACTCTCCACTATCAACCAATGAAAAAGCAGAAACAGGGGTAGAGAATGATTACACAAGGTTAGAGAAGTGAAGAAAGAGAGAGTGACTGACTGAAAAATGTGATTATTTGTTAATATGTCTATATTTGTGTCTGTGTGTATGTTTCGTATACACATACATACAAACATACGCATGTCGGTATTTTCCTCCACCTACCTTCGATAATGATCAGAAAGTGGGTGGTGGTAGTGGTCGTCGTCGTCCTATGTTTGTTGGATATTGGATAAGAAAATAGAAAATGTAAAACTTGGAAATTAGATACGCATATAAATATATATATCGTGTGCAAGCACACGCTGTTGCGTGTTTGTGTGTGTGTGGGAGTCTATCAAAGTGATTTGATTCGTGGATGATAGTAAATTTTAAAATAAACCTGTTGCCGAGGTTACTGACATACCTTTCAAATAATTGCTTCCAAAATAATAAAGTGAGGAAATTTAATACCATTTCAAACCAATATGCGCTAACTAACAGCAACAACAGCAACCCATCCTCCCTTCCTACCCACCTTGTGTTACCTCTCACTCATTCATATATATGTATATGAAAGAGGGGGGAGGGACGCTAACTATCTTTAATTTTCAGTATAAGCAGTTCTATACTCACATACCTGTTTCCTTATGTATGTGTGTATATATTTGATGTCATTTATGAAAAATATGGTAGAACACTGACTACTGTAAACGATGTGGATGCATGCCTTGTGTATGTGCGTGTGTGTGCAAATGTATGAGCGCGTTGGTGCATCCGTGATTGCCTGTATTTACCTGAGCCTATCAAACACCAAATGGTTGTTAGTGTGAAAAAAACACATACACAAACACAAAGAAATGAGCATCCACCTGCAACCGCCCCCTTCCAGCAGCACACACACGCACACACACGTCGACACACTCACATAGATTTCTACGAAATAGAATATTTCTGATGTAATCATTTCTTCGATCGTCATAATAAAAATAATACGATACTTGTGTTGGTTGGTACTCATCTTACCAGTTCATCTAATACATACTTGGAAGGATCATCTATCAGTCAGTCACTAAAATATCTCTACTGACATTCTACAATTTCATCATTAATAATAAATACACACTATCTATCCTTGTATAATTCTTATAAATCAAATAGATTGGATTACAATGCTTCTCATTTAGAGAAAAAGAAGTTGTTTTTTATTTTTTTTGTATTTTAAGAAAAGTATTAACTTACTACTGATATTGAAAATAGAGAGAAAAAATAAATAAATAATTGAACAAAAGGATATCATAATGCACAAAGTGGTCAACTTTCAGAATACCGCTTATATTAATCAGCCTCATCATCATCATCATGATCGACAACAACAACCAGAACAACACAATGGTGAAAATGGTGAGTTGAACAACACTCGACTGGCCTATATCAATACACCAAATATATATACTACTGATAATCATCGTGTAGATACTACTATCAATGTTACTAACACTCCTATAATTACAACTACCTCTACGAGTACTACTACTATTAATAATAATAATAGTAATAATACACTAGTCAATATCAATTTACCCCTGGAGATTAACACTTCAAATAATGAATTATTTTGTAATAATAAAGCATTTGAGTATACACCATCACAGCCGTTGACTTCATTGAATTATTTGAATGAATTCACTACTACTACAAGTCAGTGTGTTTCGTATCCAACGAGCTCTCTTCAAAATCAATTACAACAGAATACTTTCAATTATGATTATGGACAATATAGTAATGATAGTTATTATTCTCAACAAATTCCATTAACTGCAAATATTCATACTACTCACAAGAATGATTATATCAGTAGTAGTAGTAGCAGTTGTGGTCGGGGTGGTGGTGGTGGTGCTGGAGGTGATCCTACGTCATCGTTTTCTACATTAACTTCAGTGAATACCAATATTAATACTAGGAGGACTACAGAAACTCCTCCTCCTACAACGCCTATTCCTAGTACTACTTCTACTAATACTAACAATGGCAAAAGTAGTGATGACAATAATAATACTAATACTACTAATAATAATAATAACAGTAATAATAATGGAACAAATAATTTCTTTTTTAATGAAGTACAAATTATTTGTATTTGTGAAACACTTCAACAACGCGGTGATATTGAACGATTGGAGATATTTTTACAAACTTTGCCGAAATGGAATACACACATTCACTATTTAGAATGTATACAAGTGGCTAAAGCAATTATTGCATTTCACCATGAACAATATACACAATTATATCATATTCTTGAAAGTCGTAATTTCTCCCCAGCGTATCATACACGTTTACAAAATCTATGGTTACGTGCACATTATGCTGAAGAAGAGAAATTAAAGGGGAGGACATTAGGTGCTGTAGCTAAATATCGTATAAGACGTAAATTTCCACTTCCGCATACAATATGGGATGGTGAAGAGACAAGTTATTGTTTTAAAGAGAAATCACGTAATCTCTTAAGAGAGTGGTATCATCAAAATGCATATCCATCGCCAAGAGATAAACGTCAATTGGCTGAGATTACAGGCTTGACAATAACACAAGTATCGAATTGGTTTAAAAATCGTAGACAACGTGATCGTGCAACAGATACAACAACAGGGACTGTAACTCCTCCAACAATGACTATGACAACATCACCACCAATAACAGCAACAACAACAACAACAGCAGCAACGATGATGACGAATTCACCGCCCACGTCAAGCATGACACTAATGTCTACAGGTATACCAATGTCTGGAGTACCGTCGTCAGCATTAGGTTTATCAGGCAGAGGAATTATTATGCAAGCAGATATAAATGAATGCGATTCATGTGTTGAATTACATACAGAAAGGAAAAGAAGCAATGAAACTGTGGAAAAAATAAGCAAGTAAGTTCCATAAGGAAATATTATATTTTTTCCTAAATGTAGTTAGCATATTCATTATGCATGTGTAGGTATTTGAATTCATTTCAGTGTAGAATTCATCATGAAGCAAACATCAGTAAGAGATTATTGAAAACTAAAGGGGTACTGGAAAGGTGTTTCATCCTAGTTTGAAACTCTTCAGAAATGCATATCCACCATCCTACTTAGGGAAAGAATGTGAATACCCCGCATAGTTCACTACAATTTTAAATAGTTTAGGTGTTAATGTTTTGACACGATATGCTGTATTATTCTCGTTTAATGAAACTATTAATAACTGGATGACGTTGGTAGATGGAGGTGACTAGCAGTGGAATCCAGGATAACGCACATTTCGTCCTATTTGGGACTGTCAGTTGGATGCGCCTGCATTCCGTAGTGAGTGATGATGTTCCCGTCGAGGCTCGAACCCAATGCCCATAGTTTCAACCACTGCTAGTTACCATCCACCAATCAACTTCTAATTAAATGTCCAGACATCGTCGAATCATGTGCACAAGAAGCCGACATGTCAACCTGAGACCGAGCACTTCGGTCCACTCAATCGACTGTAAAATCTAAAATTCAATTAAATAATAGACTGTTGATTAACTCTTTATTTTTAAACGCCACCATACACCATACATCATCATTATAGAATCGAGGTTATCCACTGGAACTTGTATGGATGTATATAAGTTGATGGGAAATTGTAATCTGTAATGATGTTCATCCAGAATATGGAATTTAATTAATTGTTCATATTCACTTTTATTGTAAACACCTGGTTAAGTGTCATTCTGCTTGAAATTTCACCTTTTCGAGAAAAGTTTTAACATACTTGTGCAAATTTTAACATACTTGCAAATTTTACATGGCGTCAGTTGATAGGAAGTTCCGAACTTAGTGAACAGTGCTCAGAAAATTACGCTTATATAGTTTTTCACATAGGGATTTCAGGCTTAAACGAAGTAAATGTATGCATACAATGGTAAAGCAGTTACGTAATAAAGATGAGCAGTACGTAAGATGATGGGTAACTAACTAACTAATAAATTGGGCGACAGTGTACTGAGTTCATCTCAAATCATAGAAACAAGAGAAAGCAAAATTACAATATAACCGTTCCTTTCTGAACACATAAATCGGGTTTCAGGCATTTGATAGAGATTGTTTCGACAAACTTGAGAAGAATTGATCTCTTTTGCCTCTAGATAATCTTGAACGGTCTTGCGACGTCCACCTTATGATCCAGGTCAAGGAGATGTCTGGTAATGGCCATATTGTAAGCGTTTGCTCCCTTGAGGCGTAGGCTTTTCGGTACATGTTCAGAAAATCGCAGCTTTGCGCTTCTTTTTGTTCTCCCAATGTAACTGTTCCCGCAGATACACGTAAATTTGTATACACAGTTAGAGTTAGCATGCGAAGAGTATCTATCGCCTTTTGACTGCCCCAAAGAGCAAGCTGTTTGATCGACGGGAACCAGCTAAGCTGCAGGATAGGCTCTGGCTAGGGACGTATTCAGTCTTCTGCTGACAATTGCTTGAAATATTTTCACCTTTATAATCAAGTTGAATGTAGATTGGCTTATTCTCCACTGTGATTTGCTTGACATGTGAGCCTTAAGATCTTCCATACTTGTTAGTGAATCCCTGAAGGAGACCTTTGTTTTTCAACATCTTTTCGAGAAACATAAATTCTTCCTCTGATTTACCTGTAGAGCACATTCTCCTTACTCTATAGAACAGACTCTTGACTATTGAAATGCAAGTATTGCCCATTCTATGTCGGCTTTCGGTAAAATGACCTCTGGAGACTAGCATTTTCCAGGTGTTGTGTGCCACTGTCAAGGAAATAGAACTTTCCATGATTTTCAAGTTCCATAGTAAATCCAATATTTATATGTGCATCGTTGAATAATCTGAGTAGGCAGGAAGCATGACTACGGTTGCTGCATACTGCAAGTATGTCATCAACATATCAACAATAAGAAGTTATTTCATTGATCTCATGCTTCAGCTTTGTTCTTTCAAGGTTAGATATGAAGATATCTGCTGAAACATAGCTAGGTGGACTGCCCATCACATCTATTTCGCGGTAAAAAGTCTAGTCAAACTGGAATTGTACATCGATGGTACGACACACTAGCAGTAGGCGTTTGAATTCCGACTTTGGGAGTGGGAGGAGATCCGACTGTTGACAGATGATCTCGATAGTTTCATTGATTGGGATCCTTGTGAACAAGAAGGTTACATCAAATGATGCCATGAACTTATTTGAAACGTCCACGCTGTTGTTCTTGCTTTATTCAAATTCATAAAGGGGAATCATTGTATGCAGAATATGCGGACGCTTGACAATCGATATACTTTTGTCGTATATGAGACGATTTTGCATTAGTGATCTCAGAGGACTTCGAGATTAAGGATAGAGAATGAAATCATTGAATGTATTGACTAATTCACGTGCTTGTCAAGCTGTACCAGCCCTAACTGACTAGTTACTTACACTCATAGAATCATACAGATCACATATGGGGATCTGAATATTTTAGATACCCAATACAAAATGTGGTGAATTTTCCACCTCAAATTTAACTCTAAAGCATTATTAACTTTCTATGTAAATGACAGTTCATCCATCAGCTGATTCCGGTAGAGTACTGGGGGCTTGTATAAACTGACAGAGATATGAAAATCCAAGACATGAGATTTCGATCTATCTGAAAGTTCTAATTTCCTGAGCTTTAGTTGTACAGACGTACAAGATGTTGGTGGTGGTGGCGTTAAGAATTTCCACACTTATATGGTATAACTTCCCATTTCTTATTTCTCTTCTTCTTCGTCTTCCACAGTTCATCTCGAAACGAAAGGAACTCTCTTTATCCTCGTTTACTGAAACTTTGATTTTATTGTCGTTTGTTCTTAATGGACTGAAATAATCGATATCTTTCGGTATATTACACTTCAATGATACATTTGATTCCAACTCAGAAATTACTTGACAGATTACTGATAATTGTGAGATTCATGATGCGGTCTAGGTCCTTTCTCGAACTCCTCAATATGGATGCTCTCCTCATTGAAAATTGAACTAAACAAAACTCATGAGTGATGGACAGTAAGTAACCATAGGGCTTGACCAGTTAAATGGATAATCTTTAGGAGTTTAAAACGATGGGCACTAGTCCGTGGACACAATGGGAGCATCATCAGAGCTAAAAATACAACGAAACACACGTAATTCCTACTGTGATGAAACTTCATACAAATTCAATTAACAATTTTTGTTTTATTCCTTCACGTTCCCAGTGGAACACGGGGCTTCAAGCTAGAGACTTGAAGTTTCAGTGGCAGTGATGTTTATTTCTACAGGCTGGAAATGCTAGCCTCATGCTCAACCTTTCCTCTTTACCAGCCTTATTACTGGGTTAGTGAGGTAAAGGAGTGAGTCCAGTGGCTGGAGATCGAACCCCGGACTATGTGCATGGTGGGCGAGCGTCCTCAACACTGTGCCACCGACACACCGGTTAACAAGTAATCATGAGCTGTATTAATACATTTATTATCATTATTATTCCCTCGGGTTCCGAGTGGAATATAAGGCTTCAACAGTCCTCCACGATTACCTGTAAGTTTTCATTCCCTCCTCACACAGCCTCCTCCATGTTGCTTTTGGACCCATACCCAACTAGTCGTTTCTTATTCAAGTCCTAATCGACCGTTGTCCTACCGAACGATACCATTCAACGGTCTTCTCAGGGTGTAGTATCCAGTCCATCTCTATTTTCTTCTACATATGTGTTTAGCAGTGGAGTACTGGTTGGTTCGTTCCCTGTCAGAGTTCTTTGTTTCTAATCGTTTCTGGCCGGTTATCTGATCTTCAGTATCTGTTGATAAAAGTCTGCAGTCTGCGGGAAATGTTTTCGGTAACTCGTCATGTCTGTGAAACATACACAGGAGCACTGACTGGACATTAGTTATTCAAGACCTTGTTTAACTGTCGTAGGAAGAAATGAATGCATGACCATTTATTATTGAATTCTTAAAGTATTAGATCAGACTCAATATTCAATTGTTTATGCTTTACCACTATTAAAAAACAAAACAAAAATTCATAAGCGGGCTTTTAAAATCCAACCCATTCTTCATTCTATTCTGGATAAATTTGTAACTTTAAAAGAAAATAATTAATATAAACAAAACATGTGAAATAAGTTACCATTTAAATAAATGAGGATTACTCAACTATTTGATAATGTTATCAAGTCAAAAATGAACGTAAAAATTCCATTCATCAAATGGTTTATTAGATTTGCCTTATTTACTAAAATCATTAGGGAAATATTCTCCCCCGGCAGTACGCTCCCACCTAGGATCTTCCGATTACAAGGCAAGCTCGTAGACCATTTAGCCACTGAAACCTGACTCACTGGCCAGCCCATAAATTCTAACTTCTACCAGTTCATGATTTTAGCGCCACCACCAACCACTGTCATCGGCAGGAACTCCATCGTTACTCTCGACTGGATGGAACCCACTGGTGATGACTTTTTACTAGAATTCCAGGCAACTTCTTCATGTAGCCAGTCACTAGCGAGTATCAGGTTAATTTTCAAGAATTGATTTTTAGGGATTTAATTTTTTCCATGAGCCAATGAATCGGGTCCCAGTGGTTGAATGGTCTACGAGATCTCTCGCCTTGTAACTGGAAGCTCCTAGGTTTGAAACTCAGTGGGTGCGTACTGATGATGAGTCGCAAACTAGTAGGACGAAACAGCTGTCCAGTATTCCCTGATTTTCGATAGTTCTCTAACTGATATAAATCTGTTGTCAAAACATTCTCGCATTATTATTTCAATCGACTGTAAACGCTTGTTTCACTGATCTCTTTTTAAAAAAACCTCTAAACTCCATTCCTTTACATTTTGAAAAGTAAAGATATTGAAACTATTGAATACATGTATTCATCGAAATACTAAG